CAACCTTAGACCTTAAGGGTGCCTATAACCTAATCTAAATAAAAGATAGTAAGAAATAAAAGATATACTTTAGAATATAAAAAGGTAACTTTAAGTACCTAGTTATACCTTTTAGACTTACTAACGCACCTACTACTTTTTAAATAATAATTAACTACATACTATAAGAATTCTTAAATAAGTTTATAGTTATCTACCTTAATAATATACTTATTTACTTTTATAACCTTAAGGAACATAAGAAGCATATTTATAAAGTACTTTAGAAGCTATAGAAAGCTAAACTCCTAGTAAAACTTAAGAAAAGCGTATTCTATAGCTAATAAGTTAACTTCTTAGGATTTACTATTATACCTAGTAAAATTAGAATAGAAAACAAAAAGATTGCAGTAGTAAAAGACTGGCTATAACCTTAGAGTGTTAAGGATATTTAATTATTCTTTAGATTTATTAACTTTTATTAATAATTCCTTAAGGGATACTTAGGTAAAATTAACCTTCTTATTAAGCTTATACAAAAGGATACCTCTTTTAAATAAACAAAAGAATAAAAAAAAGCCTTTAAGGGTATTAAGTAATAAGTCCTCTTAGAACTAGTTTTAGTTATCCTAGATCTTAGAAAACCTTTTAAACTTAAAACTAATGCTTTAGACTACGCTATTAGTAAATAACTTAGATAATAAGATAACAATAGAAAGCTGCACCCTTATGCATTCTTTTCTTAAAAGCTTAGTAGGCCTAAGCTTAATTACTAGATTTATAATAAAGAACTTATAGTAATTATTAAAGTATTTAAGAAATAAAAACCTTAACTATCTAGAATTAAATATAAAGTTAAGGTTTATACTAACCATAAGAACCTAGCCTACTTTACTACTTTAAAAGTCTTTAACAAACGACAGATTTAATAGTCTAAATTTCTTTTTAAATTTAATTTCTAAATTATTTATGTTAAAAGAACAGAAAATAGTAAAGCTAATGTATTAAGCTAATAACTAGACTATAAAGTCTTAGTATTAGATAAAACACTAGTTATCTTAAAATAAGATAATAAAGGCGACCTTATGCTAGCCTAGAAGCTTATTATAATTAGCACCTGTGTTAATACTAGTATAACTAGCAGGATAATATATAACTAGATTAAAGAAATTTATAGCGCTTGTATATATAGATACTAAGGTGTTATAAAGATATTTAAGCAAATTTAATAATATTATAATAAGTAAGTTATATAATAAGAAGTAGCTTTAGCTATTAGGGACTATAAAATATATAAGAAAAGTAAGAATAGTTCTTATAAGCTATATAAGTAAATATAACTACTACTAGTACTACTAAAAGTATAGTATTTAATCTCTTTAGACTTTATTATTAAACTACTAAAGTTAGAAGAACTATTTATAAAAATAGACTATAATAGTATCTTAGTTATAGTAGACTAACTTATAAAGTATGCTTACTTTATTTCTTACTTAGAATTAAGTATAGCAGAAGACCTTATATATACGTTTTTAAAATATATTATTAGTAACTATAAATTACTAAAGGAAATTATGTTAGATAGAGATAAGTTATTTATATCTAAGTTTTAGAAATCTCTAATTTTATAACTTAGAGCTAATTATAAGCTATTAACTACATTTTACTTATAAACTAATAAATAGACTAAATAAATTAACTAGATACTTAAACAGTATTTATAATGCTATATTAATTATAACTAAGATAATTAGGTATTACTACTGCTAATAGCCTAATTTACTTATAATAGTACTATTAAGAAAAGCACTTTAAACTTCTTATTTTACCTAAATTATAGATTTAAGCTTACAGTATATAGAGAACCTTAATAAAGACTATAAGTACTAAAAGCTATAGCTAACTTTAACAAACTATAGGAAATCTAATAAAACGTTACTAAGGACTTAGAATTTGTTAGAATATAAATAAAAAAATATGCTAACACGTTAAGGATAATAGGACTATCCTTTAAGGAGGGAGATAGCGTATACCTTTTATAATAAAATATTAAGATAAAAAGGCTAAGTAATAAGTTAGACTATAAAAAACTTAGACCTTTTAAAATTACTAAGAAAATCTTAGATGTTAACTTTAAACTTAACTTACTAGATATAATAAAAATATACTTAGTCTTTTATACTGCGCTACTTAAACTAGTATTATAAAGGTTAAATATAAACGACTGTATTATTATTAATGTATATAAACTAGAATATAAAGTTAAAAAGATTATTAATAAAAGAATAAAGAATAAAGAAAAATAATACCTTATTAAGTAGTAAGACTATAGATATAAGGATAACTTATAGGAACCTACTATAAACCTTTAACACTACTATAAGTTAGTAGAACACTTTTGCTTAACCTAGGTCTTATACTACTAGATAAACTCTCTAGATCTCTTGTAACAGTATTACTAAATACTGCGCTTTAATTAATAACATTTATACCTCTATAAGATTACATAGAGATTACTGCCTTAGACTTAGCCCTTTTAGCCTTTTCTAACTTATCTAAAGACTAAAGGCCTAGATAAGTTATCTTTAATCCCTTAGTTACAAGCTAACGCTTTTAATAACAAAGCTGCTCTAAGTAAGCTAATGATTTATCTAGATCTGCTTAAGCCTAACGTAAGGTGTTACAGCAGGTACTAAGAAGCTTTTTAGTAGCCTCCTCTTTATTTTCTAAATGCTTAGACTTTAAAATAATCCTTAATACTAGAAAGATGTTAGTATGCCTTAGAAAAGAAAACTACGATACTTATAAGAATTAAGGGTGGCGCCTGAAGTATTGCACGCCTTATTATAACGAACGTACTTCTTACACTTTAACAATTGCTTAATTATGTAATAACAAAGGCTGTAACTACAACAGAAAGTGTAAGGCATTACATTGTAACTAAAGAGTTTAATAGAAGTTGCTAAATCTTAATAATGACGACTTAATGATTGATTTTAAGAACCAGAAGCTTTTTGTTTGCTTACGTAACTAGATATAGTGTTAGCATTATTAAAGGAAGCAGGAACTTAACATTTTCTAACCTAGGAAGATACTACCTACTTATAGTACGGTCTGTAGGACTTAGACCTTAGAGGAGAGACCTAATGTTATAACCTAAGAAGAACTACCTCTGTAGCTTTAAAGTAATAAGGAGGACTAATAGACTAATAGGCCTAACAGGCTGTTAATATAAAACAGGTTAGACCTAGAACGGAAGAACTATAGAATAGGTTACGTAATAAATAGTTAATAGGAAGAATGATTACCTGTAAGTAGGTAATTACTTTAAATAATTACTGTTAGGATAAGGTAAGTAAGAACTATAATTACCTTAGGTAAGGTAATTACCTTAGTTAGCAACCTATATATAGGAAGGCCTTAAGCCTGCTTAAGTTCTAACTTTTATAGCGCTTTAGTAATTAACTTTATAATTTACTTTACTATAAGTAACTCTTAATTATCCTTCTGTTGTAAAGCTATATAAGCTACCTATGCCTACCTAGTATTTAACTAATTACTGTATACTTACTAATAAGACGCTAGTAAGCTAGTAAGCTAATAAGACCTAGTAGTACTGTTAAGAGTATCTAGCCTTAGCTACCTGTTAGCAGAAAACACTACTGTTAGATATCTAACTATAATATTTACTAAAACTTTAGGTACCTTAGGTAGTAAAAATAAAATAATTTTTAAGTTATAATAAATTATAAATATTAATAAACTAAAGATTATATTTAGTATTAGTTAGACTAGCTTTTTAGAAAAGCTTACGTTCTTTTTTAGGTAGTAATTATTTAAGATACTTAATTACTTCTAAATTTTTTTACTACGCTATTATATTAGCTATATTCTAACTAGAAAATAATTAATTAGTATAATACTACCTAAAAAACAAGGGTATTACCTAGAAAAAAAAACGTAACTTACCTAGTTATTATTTATATAAGTTAATAAGAAAAGTTAATTTGTTAGAAATTTAAGCTTATTAAATAAGGCTAGTAGCTAAGAGGTTCCTACTATATTAAGTTATTTATGCCTACTTACTAAATAACTAAGAGAAAAAGATACTATAAAAGGATTTAAAACTAAAAAACAGGTAAAAGAACCTTTTACTATAGTAATACTATTCCCTTTATATCCCTTTTGTTAAGCTTATTTTATCTAATAAAGTAATTAATAAGGAATAATTACTTTATTTTTCTCTTTATAAACTTTTTATTTCTAGTTATAAAGGTACCCTGTAACTAAGGAGGTATGTTATAAAGCAGAAGAACGCTTTATATAGTGTTTCTAAAGCTATAGTAGCTACATAAGTAGTTACTAGACGTACAGACCTCTTTACATAGGTATTTCTAGCCAGAATCACTTTATACTTTAATTCTAGATAAATTAACTACTTTTATATACCTTTTATAAATACCTAAGGTTTATTATATCCTTATAGTAGACTAACTTACATAATATACTTTTGTAGCCTTGTTAAGTAGAGCACTAGAGGATCCCTGCCTAGGCAAATAGACGTTAGCGCTGTACCTCAGGAGGACTTCTATTATCTTAGTGATTCCTATAGTTCTATAGTTAAGCTTATCTACTGCTACTAGTAGTAGGACTAAGCTAGCACCTATTACTAACCCTCCTATGTGCTAACAGACTATTTGGCTGCCTGAGGCATACTTACACACAGCACCATATGTCCTGCCTTGCCAAGGTAGGCAGCGCTTAAAGAGGGGAAATAGGGGGCGAGGGCAGGTGATGGTGCGGATTTAAGAACTGAAATCCTGTTAGTGACTTCCTACTTTCCAGAAGTAGGATAAGTAGAGGGAGGGGGAGTGTACGTATCTAAAAGCTATTTACTACAGTCAGTACAGTTTGACACGGGAAAACCGGAGGAACGCCGTTTCGCTCGGGATTTACTTTGTTCCGCACAGTGGGGCCAAGATGGGAGCTTTGCCTTCCGATGATGGAAGTGTCATGCTTCACATTCAGGACATCTCACAGCTAAGGCTTCATGAGGGCCGGATTAGTAGTTGGGTCGGTGACGACCAGCGAATACCTGGTGTTGTTTGTTTTAGTTTTGGCTTTTTGTTGACACGACAAGCATTGTTGTATTACTTCGTTTCCCAATCTCCTCCATTGCTTCGCTCTTCTCTTCTCTTGTTTCTACACGGGATTAATACATGCAATTTTCAACTTGGCGGGGAAAATCGCTGGATTAGGTATTCATTGTGTCGTAACACGTCGATAAAGCCGATGATGCTTAGTCCTTGTCCTCTCCCAAATTCTCGGTCTCCCAAGTCATCGGTGAGATTCCAGAATCAGCACTCTACCGCCGCGTCCCCAGTTTCTGAGTCTCAGGCCATGACGATACGGCGTCCTCAACCTCCTCGAGGAACGTTGCTGAGTTGTGGATCGTTGTACCCCCAAGAACCAAGCGCACGCCAGGCGAGCTTGCGTTGATCGTTGCAACCGTCTTAGCCTCCTCATACGTAGCACCGCCAACCATGAAGACGATAATATCTTGAGGCTTGTCTCGCGTGGTGCCCCCACCCTCGACGAAGGGGTATTGTTGCTCTTTGAGCCTTCCGCGAATCAGGTTTTGGAGGGTGCTTTCGAGCAGAGGACTGTGCTGAGTGTAGACATTCTCGACGCCCTTAAGTCCCTTGAATCGGTTGCCGGCTCCTCCGAAAATGCCGGCCCCCTCAAAGATGTCTGTGATACCTGTTTGAGCTTGAGACTGTTGTAGTGAGGATTGATATGTCACCAGCTTCGAGACAAGATCCGCTCGCCGCACTGAAACGCCGCCAGCGGCCACTAAGAGGTCGACAAGCATGGGAAGTGCATTCGAGGGGTTGCGATCATATCTCAACGCATAGAGAGCGACGAGAGCAACCTTGCTGTCACTTGTCACCTTGGGAGACTGAATGAGCCTTTGTATATTCTGTAGCAGAGCCACGCATTAGCCATTGTGCGGGGGGCTGAGATTCTGATATTCGGCAATGCATACCTTTACGTCAGCTGCGTGGTTATCGTTACACGCAAGGCTTTGCTCAAGCTCGCTGACCTCGAGCAGGTTTTCCGCCCCCACCCGCCTGCTCAACTCCGAGACCAGAGTGACGTGTTTACTGACATTCCCGGAGAGCTTGCGGAACTCGGGATACTCTTCGATGAAGCGCTTCATATCCGAAATAGACTCGATGTTTGCACTGTTCTGGGTCTTGGACTGATACTGCTCGACATAGTCCTTGATGTTACCGCCTAGGTCGCCAAAGTTGAGATACATGTTCTTCTTAAAGAAAGGGTCTTGATCCTGGGACAAGACAATCTCTTTGAGCTCCGGGCGAATATCCGGCACATCACTAAGATCAACTCGGCCGTTGGTGATGCCGAGTAGGTGATGCACCATTGCCTGGTAGGTCCATTGGGTGAGTAGGGGTGTTACGGGGTCCTCGCGCCGGTCGAGAATGAGGAGAATAGGAGGCGTGTCCACCTTTCTAAAGTCGAAAAGCTGCTCCTCTTGCGTGATGCGATACCGCACCTCTGTCGCCAGCTTTTTTGTAAGTGGGCTGTTCCTGGCGTACCTGATCAGAGGCTTCTTTTTGAGAGCGAGAAGCACGGCAATGAGTCCGTCAGCGCTTCTCTGAAGGGCGTCGGGGCTCCAAGTGTCCGGATTGCTTCCCCAGAGACGCTGATGGGGAAGGCTGAGACCGAGCGAGAATAGATCGGGGTTGATGACAATAAAGTCGGCAAAGTGCTCCTGGACAAGCTTGACGACTTCGTGGTCGTCAGCCTCGGCGAGCCTCTCGAGTGATGACTTCTTGACCACGTTGGTAAAGTACAAGTGGTATTCGCCATACTTGGGCTCTCGTAATTCATCGATGAGGAGCTGAATCGATTCAGGTGATGGTCGAACAAGGCAAAGACATCGAAGATGGCGCATCTTCTCCCTGTTGACGTTGTCGATCCGATCGATGAGATAGACCTCATGGTTCAATAAAGCTGACTGAGTGATGGCTGTGGACACGATGGGCACTGTCTCCCGGTCCAGCAGGAGGACCTTCATTTTCGCCGATTGGGTTGCCGACGACGGGTCGGCTGAAGAAATCATGCGAGAGACATAGCCGGCTACTGCTTGTGCCACATCCATCCTGGCGAACGGGCGCACAGCGCGAAGAACGAATGCTCGATGAGGTATGTCGTGGGCTCGAGGGAGAAGGCCAGATAGTTCTGATGTGTGCCTGGGTCCGTGTGTGAGTGCCGCCGACTGTCTTTTAGCAAATGAGACGTGGATGCGCGAATGTTGGGAATACCTCGGATATGTTGGTCGTGAAGCAAGCTGGGTCGATGGGTTAAGATGGAATGTGGTTGCAGTGGTTGTTATCCACAAGTCGTCGGCGCACCCCTCTGTCGTTGGATGGGATACGTCGCTGGCCGGGACAGCTTGCCTGAGCTCCCTGGACGTGCCTGGTTACCCGCGTTGGGCCTCTCAGCTTGCGTAAGGTACTTGTTAGCCACAGTGTCTATACAGTGTATCAGCACACTCGTCTTAGCCTTCGGAACAGGTGACACACTGTCATCTCAGGGGATGCGAGCTCTAGTGCCATGGTGGATCTCCGCCTAGGAGTGACGTTCAGCTTCTTCACAGTGTCAATTCGACCAGACAGGCACCTTGCTTACCTCGCTCTGCCCCAGTTTTCTACCTAGTCAATTCTCAGCATCACCAAGTTGATGACATCTTGGCTGGGGTCTTCTTCAACCTTATCCAAGCTCAATCTCTGACCCTGCATTGGTCTGGCTCATGACTCTGTAGTAAGGCGGTGACATCTCCTTACATTATCAACGAGCTCGCCTTCAACCGCCGAGAGCATGGCGAGCTTGTCTACGGACACTTGCCCAGCAAAGGCAGAACCGGCGTGAGTTATGCACCCATCTACATGCTCCCTAACTCGACTGGAAACCGCATGCTAACCTGCGTTGATATAGCCTCTCGTTCACGCAAGGTCTCATTCTGGGTCAGCTGTCGGTGGTTTTGGTCCTTGCCGCCTTCATCAAATTCTTCATTTTCGGCGACCCTCCCTCGCCCGAGGTGACAGCCTCTCTGCGAGCAACGGAGCGTCGGTCTAGGACACTGGCCCACAAGCGTTCCTTGTTAAGCCTACGGACTGCAAACGCGAAGCAGGGTCAGCAGACGCTCAACCGCAAAAAGTCAAGCGTCCTCCGCAACCCTCCCAACCTAACCATCGGCTCCATCCTCAGCAAAACCTACTACAACGTCGACAGCCACCAGCCGGAAAGTCTGGATTGGTTCAATGTCCTTGTGGCGCAGACCATCGCCCAGTTTCGGAGCGACGCACAGCATGACGACGCCATCCTGAGCTCCCTAACCAAGGCGCTCAACGGAGGCTCAAGGCCTGATTTCGTCGACGAAATTCGCGTGACGGAACTGAGCCTGGGAGAAGACTTCCCCATTTTCAGCAATTGTCGCGTCATTCCCGTGGACGAAGATGGTCTGAGCCTGGGCAACGGAAGGACGCTCGATGCCAGCGCAGCAACGAGGGAGGGGGCGAAGCTACAGGCACGGATGGACGTCGACCTCAGCGATATGCTGACTCTCGCCCTCGAGACCAAGCTTCTCCTGAACTACCCGAAGAAGTTGAGCGCGGTGCTGCCTGTGGCCCTCTCCGTCTCGGTGGTCAGGTTTAGCGGTACGCTATCCATCTCCTTCATCCCCAGCAACCCCTCACAGTCAACCCCTACCATGATGACCTTCAGTTTCATGGACGACTACCGTCTCGACCTATCAATCCGGAGTCTGCTCGGCAGCCGATCAAGGCTTCAAGATGTCCCAAAGATCGCCCAACTGATTGAGGCACGTCTTCATCGTTGGTTCGACGAACGGTGCGTGGAGCCTCGGTTCCAGGAGATTGCGCTGCCAAGTCTTTGGCCACGCAAGAAGAACACCAGAGGGCCGGAAGACGGCTTGGCCGAGACCAATGCGTCGGTGGGCAGAGCGAAGGGGAAGGACATAAACCAAGATCTCCGAGCTGAGGCTCGAAGAGAAGTCGAGGCCGAAGCGGGGACTCGCACAGGCCGAGAACATGATTCGCTCCGTCGCCGAAGGATGCGGAGTGAGGATGATTTTGCGATGCCGGGCTCGTTACCTGGGCTAGACATTGACATGAGGACATGACATGCCTCTTGGGATAGCCTCTAACGTAACTACATACACAAGGCGCCTCTCAAACCCCATGCGGTACCAGGGTCATCGAGCTCTCAGTCAGCGGCACCAGGCCTTTCCACCAAGAGAAGGCCCCAACAAACAAAAGTACATAGTAAACAAATGTCCATTTCCGACTATCGGTTTGCGTGTAGTGTCCATGAGCGTGCCAGTAGGGTTCAACAGCCCCCAGAAGCGAGGAAGGCCCATTGCGTTGCAGAATGCGTGTACCAACACAATGGCTAGCAAGCTCCCCGACCGCAGGAACAGGAACGTGGCGTAGGCGCCGAAAAGAGACGTGTATGCGAACTGGACGACAGAGCGTGCAATGGCGGCTACGAGGGGCACCTTGGGGTGGGTGATGCGGAACTCGTAGAAATGGTGGACATGGGCGAGACCAAAGATGACGGGGGACAAGAAGATGGTCTGGGTCAGCGACATACGAGCGCAGAGGAGTAACGGAACCGAGGCGGAGCGGAACAGCATCTCTTCGGTCAGAGGCCCCTTGAGGTCCACGTTAGTTTCCTGGCAGGACCGACTGAGTGCCACGAGTGAGAAGCAACATACCATGACAATATTTCGCCAGGTTGTCCACTGGGTCCAGATGCGTACTATGGGATCAAAGGCTCGCCAGTCTTCCCAGACGCCGTCGATGAGAAGAGTCTCATAAAGGGGAGCAGCGAACAGGGTTGCGGTGAGAGTCAGACATGCAGCAGACTCGACGATACCCAGGGGCCAGTATCCCATGGCATGGAGGGGGCCGAAGGGCAGAGCACCGTCAGGGAGGCGAGCCAGGATGACATAAGTCAAGGCGGAGCATAATGTGGTGGAGAACAGGACGGAAGTGATG